CTTCCTGTTTGGAAAAGGCTAGAAGACGGCCATTCTCGTCCCCGTGCCCAGCTGGATCCCCTGCGGAGCTTTACAACTAACGTTCAGGCCACACGTGAGACCGACTCGATCAGGATCTGCGGCAGGACGGACGTCGGCATGACTCACAGCTCCTGGGTGATGCTAACGTGCAGACGGGGTAGAGCCTTCTCCTCTGGCAGGTGGATGCTGAGTCCTGGCCAGGGCTCTTCCTCCCCACTGTGGGGGGTGGGGGAGCCGTGTCTGCGCCCATGGTGCTGTGCACAGTAAGACATGGCTTTAGAGTTCCTTTTAACTGAGGGAGGAGGAGGCTTCCTGGAGAGCATGAGCAGCATGGGGGACACCCAGCAGAGGGAGGGCACCAGACATTTGGGGGCGGGGCTAACAGCCACAAGGGCTTCTCTGGGGAGCGGGGGACACTGCAGACCGCAGGTGGCTGGCCAGGCCGCCTCCGGGGCGCAGGGGAAGCCGAGGTTGAGGGTCACAGCCCTGAGTCGGGGCGAGCCCGGGCCTGGGACTCCCCTCCGCAGCAGTCGCTCCTGTTCTGCTTCCATCAGAAGACGAGGCCCCGACGCTGGGGGTCTGGAGAGACCCCCGGCTCAGACGTGCGAGGGGCCTGAGCCCCAGCCGTGCCTCCAGGAGCCCCTCTGCTTCTTTGGACTTGTGCCCCATCTCTAAGTGGCCGCAGGAAGCACGGTGCCTGAAGCTGGGGCCCTGCATGCACTGGCTCTCGGCCCGGAGTCCGGAAACCCCAGCACGCGCACCAGGCGTGGCTGCTCCACGGACTCACTGACCACATGCTCTCACTGCCGGGACCCCGCATCTGGAGCCGCCTTGGGAAACTTCACGTGTTCCATTCCCTACAAGCCCTGAAACCCAGGTCTCCATCCCACACGCGCACACACGTGCGTGTGCACACAGCACCCCCTGTATGGTGAGCAGCAGCGCCTGCCACCTGTCCACCTGCCCGGCCATGCCCTGCGCATGGAGCTGGCGTGACTCAGGCCCAGGCCGGGCACGCACACCTCTGCCACCCCCACCTGCCGGGACCTTACGTGGGGAAACGTCCTCGGGACATCACAGTGTGAAATCGGCCACCGTGGGAGCATTTACGCTGCGATAATCATCAGATGATGACACATTAGGTCTTTCTTCTCCCCCCAGCACCCTCCCAGGCAGCTGACCAGCATTCCCCAGCATCCCACTACCTGGCGGTGGCCCCCAGGGGGCACAGGAGCAGCCCTGACCTCCGTCTGAGGTGTGCTCCACGGCCCCGCAGTGCCCGTTCCGCTTAGAGACGCGGGTAGAAAGGCAGATCCTGCCCTTGTCTCACCACAGACCTGAGTCGGATCTTTAGGGGCAGGGACCACAGACCTGCAGTTTATGGGGCTCCCCAGGCATAGATGCGATGCTCTAAGCACCAGGGAGGAGCCGCGGGGTGGGGGGGGAAGGGGGGCTTTGAGGGGCCATGGGACAGCCAGTCTGAGTGTCATCCAACCAACACAGGCAGGTGCCCTCTGATTTCTTCCTCTTCGCAGCTCAAGTATAATAGAGAGAAAGCTTAGGGGGGAAAACCATCCACATTGTCACCTCAGGGGGCAGGGGGTCCTCAGTGGGCCATGTTTCTTCCACGACTTGAGCCCTCGAGTGGGTTTATACACAAGTCAGCCGCAGGGGTGTCTATTCTCCACACGGGCATACACAGCACGTTTGGATCCCGGTTCTGTTCTGGAAACACACCATCTTACACCCTGACACGGTCACCGGACCAGGTGACTCGTTCAAGAAGAGGCTATTTTTTCCCTAGCACTGGCGTGCTGAACGGCGGTGGTTGGTACCCAGAATGTAATCTTTCAGAATTAACATTCCTCGTGCCCGGCCTGGCTCGGAAGGGCAGGACAAGCCCTCTGGTCACGGGCACAGCCCCGTGGAAGGGAGCACAGAGCCCCTAATCCGTTTTATTCTGGGAAGTATTTTGGCACAGCTTGGCTCTGGCGTTTATAAACAAGTTCTTTGTTGGCTGGACGGGGCTTGTCTAGAAGGAGGTTAAACACTCCTCTGGAGCCTTTTATGATGTGGGTGGTTCACCTTTTAGCTCTGGGGACAAGAATGGGTCTGCACACCACCTGGATCTGGGGCCACATAAATCACTTTTCAATAGGTGACACTGCCCGGTAGGGAAAGGTGGGGAGAAACCACCAGCAGCCCCGCCTCACACACCCTGCACTTTTCCCAACAAAGCTTGCTTGTCCATCCGACAAATTTTCATCGGCGCCTGCTCTGACCTGGTGGCTTCGCGCGTGGGGCCGGGGGGAGACCAGGACAGGGGCTCCAGGCTGACAGCAGCCTCCCAGGTGGAGGAAATAGAGAATACCATTTCCACAGAGAACTGTCCAGAATAGGTGGTGGGGCTGGGAGACGAATGGCAGGAAATGGGGTGGAAATAGGGGCAGGTGTTGGGGGATGATGAAGCCCTTACTGTGGGCCCCGATGAGCTGTTTCATCTTTATTCTGTAGGCATTTATGCTTAAGAGGGTGCCACCCGCCCAGCCTATATCTGCCCACCCTGGGCACCTCCAGCCAGCCACCCATCCGTCCTCTCCTCCGTGTCCGCCTGTCTGTCAGCCATCAGCCATCCATCCACCCATCCACACTCTGTACCAGACCCAGGAGTTCTTTTTTTTTTTTAGCTTATTCATTTATTCTGAGAGAGAGAGAGTGAGAGAGACAGACAGACAGACACTATGCACGACGGAGGGGCAGAGAGGGAGAGGGAGGGACAGAGAATCCCAAGCAGGCTCTGCACTGACAGTGCAGAGCCTGGCGTGAGGCTTGAACTCATGAACTGTGAGATCATGACCTGAGCTAAAATCAAGAGTCGGAGGCTCAACCGACTGAGCCGCCCAGGTGCCCCCAGAATTTCTCCTTTCCTTTCCTGGGTCCTTAAGGACCTGCAGTTCTCCAGCAACTCCCTACTTGTATTCTATTTCAGAACCACCCCAGCCTGCCTGTGTCACCTGCAGACTATTCAGGGGATGGTGTTGTTAGAAACAAGGAATTAGACAGTCAGGGGAGAGCCTGGCGCCCCTGGCCGGATGGTCGGAAAACACGCAGCCAGGAAAGAGGGATCGTGGGTGGATGTGCCGAGCAGGGCAGGACATCTCATCCTGACAATTCTTTGAAAAGTCTGTTATGAAGCTGTTACAACATATGGCAACACGGGCCCTTTGAATAATTATAATGTATTTATGGCCTTCAAGTTAATAAAGGAATCAGAGAGGGGCGCCGGGGTGGCTCAGTCATTTGAGCCGAGGTCATGATCTCATGTTTTTTAGGTTCAAGCCCCATGCGTGGCTCTGTGCTGACAGCCTGGAGCCTGCTTCGGATACTATGTCTCCCTCTCTCTCTGCCCCTCCCCTGTTCACACTCTGTTACCCTCTCGGTCTCAAAAATAAAATAAACAAATATTAAAAAATTAAAAAAAATTTTAAGTTAAAAATAAACATCAAAAAAATTTTAAAAAGGAATCAGAGAATTAAGATGCACTATCAAAAAAAAAACAGCTCTGTGGATTAAATTTTTGTCTTTTTTTTTTTTTTCAAGCTGGTGGGGAAAGGGGAAAGGGGGGCAGTATTTTAGGTCTTGGTCCTTTTTACACGGGTTAGGGTTTGTTAATAGTTTGGTCTAACATCTCTTATTGTCCTTTATGGTGAAAAACATTCCTGATTATAGAAGACATCACACACATGCGCACACACATGCACACAGTACAAAGCAAAAAAAAAAAAAAATACTCTGAGATGACGATTATTAACATTTTGGAGTAGTTTTTTCCTAGTCTCTTTTCTTGGAGCAGATTTTTAAACATAATTGAGATCAACCCTTTTACACAGTTTCGAATCTGACTTCCCCTCCTTCCACTGAATATGTGATGGGAGAAAACTATGAAAGTTCTGAAAACGACTTCTTAGTGGCTGCGAAGAACACCATTACACGAATGTTCCATAATTTACTGAATCAGTCCCCTTTAGTTGATGGCTCGGGAAGTTTCTTTCTTTTAAGTTTATTTGATTTTGAGAGAGAGAGGGAGGGAGGGAAAGGGAGAGAGGGAATCACAAGCAGGTACGGAGCTGTCAGCACAGAGCCTGACGCAGGGCTCAAACCCATGAACTGTGAGATCATGACCTGAGCTGAAGTCGGCTGCTTAACCGACTGAGCCACCCAGGTGCCCTATGGGCTTAGGAAGTTAGTAACATTTTACTCTTACGAAGGGATGGAGACCATCCTGCCTTTTCCACCCAGGAGGACAAACTGTTTAATGCTGAGGCTCGACCCCCTCTTGCCACACTGCCTTCCAAAGCGACAGCCGCAAGCAGAGGCTCTGTGGCATGTCAGGAAGGTGTCGCCCGCCCCGCGTTCTCTGTAACTTAAGGGAAAACGAGAGCGTGTGTTGGTCTATGTGGGGAGTGTGCATGATGCTTGGGAGGAAGCACTTGTAAAACAGAACCAAACTGCAAAACAGAATTGCAATGATTTCCCTTTCCCCTCCCTCACCTGTGGTCCCAGGTTAAACCAATGCTTTAACACAAAATTTAAACAACTGGCTCAAGACCCTTTTACCCTGAGTTTCAAACCTGCTGCTGGGGATACGTGTCTGATTTGAAAATTGGTATCAGGAGTTTCTGCCCAGCAAGACAATTCCCTGCTCACTTTTCACACTTAAAGAGAAGGTTTGTTTGCTCACCAGAAGTCTGACTACTACTGCTGCCCCAGGGAGGAACCGGTCCCTGAGCCTCCTAGGGCTCTCGGCAAGGGTGTGGGGGCGCTCAGCCGCCCCTGGGATGGGGTTGGAGGTTGCAGAGAGCACACTCCCTCCACCCTCCGCCCAGGACGGCTCAGGGAAAGAGCTGGGCAGCCGCGCGCCTCAGTTTACCGGCCTGGAGCATGGGCCCAGTGGCGCGCACCCCCTCGGGCGCACTCACCTCCGCCGTACATCTGGCACAGGTAGGGGAAGCGCCACACGTTGCCCAGGCCCACAGCGTACGAGATGCAGGCGAAGACGAACTGCAGCGGGTTGGCCCACAGCGGCCGCGCCTTCTCCATGGCCACGGGCTCGGCGCGGGGCTGCTTCGGATAGCGGCTGCCGGTGCGTCCGCCCGCTCGGCCCTGGAGTGGCCCCACGCCGCCGCCGCCGCCGCCGCCCGCCCGCCGCAGGCTCGCTCGCTTTTTAATTGCTAATCTCATTAACGCGCGCCCGCTGGAGGGGCGAGGCTGGTAAATGGATGACGGCCGGCCCCACCCCGCCGGCCTCCGCGGCCGGGAAGGCGCCTGGGATTGCGCGGCACGGGGGTGGCGCCCGGGGTGTGTTGCTGCGCGGCGGCTCTTGGGGAGCCGTCAGGTTCTCCCAGCCCACCTACCCATCGTTTCCTGGGTGCCTCCTGGGTGCTAGGCTTGGCCTGGGGACGAGGCTGTGAACAACAGACATCCCCGACGTTCCCGGCAGGGAAAGGCTTACACTGGACAGGATAAAATGTCCTCTTTTCAACTACCGCTGACCTACAGAAAGGACAATTTCATATTGTCCAGGGGCATGAAGAAGACTGCCAAGGCAAAGAAAAAGGCTGAGCAGTTGCAGGGTGGAGGCTGGGGTGATCAGTGAGGGCTTCCCAGAGCAGGAGAAGTAACATTTGCCCAGAAACTGGGAGGGAGGCGCTTTCCACCCCCCCCCACCCCGCCCCCCACCCTTCACAGACACACACTTCCTGGAGTCAAGAGCCATCCAGGTGGTCAGGTTTCCCTCCATCTGTAGACAGGCCCTACTTGCCTACTGTGTACAGGACAGGGAATTCCACTCTAGTGCAGGGTGGGGCCAGGAATCCAGTTTTGAACAACCTCTGTGAAATATTCTACTGGTTGGCTCAGTCTAAGGGCTAAGATTCTGATTCATGACACTGGCATTGAGGCCTAAGAGACCAGTCTGCAAAGATTATTTGGTTCGGGCGGTCACTAAGCCTGGTGCTTTGGAGAAATGCCAGCATTGGCTTTGAGTCTTAGCTCTGTCACTGACTTAGCTGTGTGACCTTGGGCAAGTCACTTAACCTCTCTGAACCACTTTTGCTTCATCTGTAATAAAAAGAAGCCTATCCCTCACCCAAGGGCTCGTGTGAGAATTAATTGATAGCTTACTAAGTGGCATTACAGTAAGTGGTCGGTGAAGTTTTAAGTCCCCAGTAGTCTGGATGAATGAATGCATAATGGGCTAAGTCAGTTCATTAATGATATACTTTGAACAGTGCCTGGTACATAGTCAGTGCTTCGAAAATTCTTGATATATAATTAAAATTAAAAAGAGATGAAAAATGGAATCACTAGTGGAAACCTTCCTTGAAGCCAAAATGAAATCATTATGCTGGTGTCTGCCTGGCTGGTGGCTGAGAAAGGGCAGTGTGATGAGGAAGGTAGAGGCTTCTTAGACATGCTATCCGCTCTTGAACTTTCTATCTCCAAAAGGCAGAGCAGAGAAAGTCCACAGTGCAGCAAGGGGTGTGTGTGTGTGTACTATTTTAATTTTAAACTTTGGATTCTGGTGTTTTTCCTACAACTGGCCTCCTCCCCAGAGGGACCCACCACCCCAGGCTAATTTCCGCTGCTTTTGCACATGAACTACATCGCACACATGAACTCTTAGGGAATGTGCTCTCTTGTGCCTGGCGTTCTTGTGGGATTCAGTCTGCTGCAGCGTGTGGTTCTAAGGCTCTTCTTCCTCACGGCCACATAGTATTCTACGCTGTGAACATATCCAAGTCGGTGACCTCAGGACATTTGGGTCTGCTGTGAATAAAGCAGTGAGGAACATTCTAGTGCATGCCCTCGGCGGATGAATATGCTCAATGCTGGGAACTTCCAGGCTGGTCAGCAAATGTTTGTGCAGCTTTGGCAGATGTTGCCCAACTCTTTTCCAGAGAGGTAGTGCTGGTTCATACTCCCACAAGAGTTTCGGCTGTTCTGTGTCCTCACCAACGTCTGTCATTCTGTTCTCAAAGTGCTACCAGTTTCATGGGCGTGTAGTGATAGTTCACCGTGACTTTTAATTTTCATCTGCCAGATACTAATGAGGCTGCATGCTTTTCCATGGGCCAACAGGGTCATCTGGAGAACCTCTTTCACGAAGCGCACGTTCCTTTGCTGCTCTGTAGTTGGCTTGTCTCTCTTTCCTTTCTTATCTAGGACATTCTGGACCAGCCCTCTGTCAGTTTTATGCACAGTGCAAATTTCTTCCCTCCATCCGTGACTTGCCTTTTTATTCCATCAGTGGGGTCTCCTGATGAACAGACATCCTTGAATTTAACAAAGTGCAGTTGGCCAATCTTTCCCTTTCGGTGGTCTCCGTTAGTTTTTCTTCTGTGACAAAGGTCCCGTTTGAGAGATGTCTCCCTTAGCAACTCTGAGGTCATGATGGCATTCCTGAGAATTTAAATTTGTGGCAAAAGAAGGCAATCTGTAGACGGGGCCGCCTCCAGCTGTCTGCTTGGCACCTTCTTGTCCATGTACATGAGTTCTCCCTGGAGGGTGCCTGGGCACATGGCGGCACTCAGGAACGGGGCGCCCTGGAGGGATGCCCGGCACAGTTGCCTGCCACCTGTGGCGCTGCTGGGGGGTCGTTGGCTTGGCAAAGGCAAGGCTCCTCTGCCGTTTCCCACCTGCAGGGCTCAGGCTGCGCGTCCTTGCAGTCCCGCCCCGGAAGCCTGTCCAGGGTGCGAGGCCCTGGGTGGGGGCTCTGGGCAGCTCGAGGAGATACCGGCAGGATGACTAAGCGAATCTTCAGGGGCAGAGGCTCAGGGCTCCTGCCAGGGTCCTCACACCTTCCGGACCCCCCGCCTGCTGGCTCTCTCTAACCCGGCAAGATGAGTGGTGCTGCTAGAAGTGTGAAGAACAGGCCTTCGCGGAGCCGGGGAGGCGGTGGAGGTTAGTGGTGGCGGATGCTTAACACCCCGCTCTCCACGGACTCTGCCGATCTCGCTGGTGTCAGTACTCCCACTGCGGCCACTTCCAGGCTTCCCGCGTGGGGCCGCCGAACGTGGAGCTTCGTGGTTCTCCATTACACACGCGCGGTGCACACAGCCTCAAGTGTGTGATGGAGGGGTAGTAGACAATTAGGGAGTGGTGGGGTTTGAGTATTTATTACTTCTATTTTAGATCATTTAACTGTTAGTTTCTATAACTTAAGTTTTAATAATGGCTCTTTAATGTTTGGTTATTTTGAGAAAGAGGGAGAGAGAGAATCCCAACCAGGCTCCATGTTGTTGTCAGCGCACAGCCCAACTCATGGCTCGAACCCATGAACTGTGAGATCACGACCTGAGACAAGATCAAGAGGTGGACGCTTAACCAATGGAGCCACCCAGGTGCCCCAGTAATGGCTCTGTTTGACAATCAGCTCATAGTCTCTCAGTCAGTGGGTTCAAGCCCCACGTCAGGCTCTGTGCTGACAGCTCGGGGCCTGGAGCCTGCTTGAGATTCTGTGTCTCCTTCTCTCTCTGCCCCTCCCCTGCTCATGCCCTGTGTCTCTCTCAAAAATAAACATTAAAAAAACCCAAACAAACCCAATCAGCTCACAAAATTCTGGAAAAGTACCCGCTGGCTCTCACAAGCCCCCCACCGGGCCTTGGAGCTGGGGGAGCAACCTCTGTGTGGCGGGGGTGGCGGCAGGAGATCAAGTTCAAGTGCCCAAGGGCAGCAGGGTCCTAGGCTTGGCGAAACTCTGCCCTGAGTGCTCCCCAGGGGGCCTCCCTGCCAGAATGGGAGACATCTTCCCCTCTGACCAGGCGACCCATCCTGTCTCATCCCGCCAGGTGTCAGTGAGGACACAGCTTGGGAAGGTCAGAAGAAGGCCAGCTCACCGGGGTTATCAGTTTGGGGAAGAGGGTGGAGAAGGCAGGGGCGGTTCTGCCTCTGATGCATAGGTGTGGTCACAGTTTCTAGGATTCCAGATCCTTGCCCCACCAATGGCTGAGGGCCGCTGCGCAGCTTTCAATGTGCTCACCCCAGCGATAATGCTGTTCATTACCCCCACCAGTCCCTGGCTCCCCACGAGATAAAGTCCAAACTCCTGAGGAAGGCCCTGAGGAATTTATTCTTTAATGGGGCCAAGAGGAATTTGATCCTTGCTCACCTAGGTTCCAGAGAAACTAGACTTTTTACCTTCGGGAATACAGTGTGCTTTTCTATGTTGTGGGCATTTCCCTCTGCCAGGAACACATTCTCCCTTCTTGACCTGGGAAAAGCCTCCCCCTCCTTCCTGACCCAGACGAACACCACCCTTCCTGGGGAACCCAGCACCCCACCCCGGGCAGATTATATTGCTCTTTCTTGCCCCCCCCCAGGCCTGGGTGTGCTACTGTGCCTCGGTGCAGCCCTGTATGTGTCCCCCCCCTGCTCTGTGGCTGGGGTCACATCTTCCTCACCTTTTTCTCCCAGCCCAGGTGCAGGCGTGAGTCTCAGTGAAGGTTCGCTGATAAATGAAAAGGCTGCCACAGACTGAGCACTGTGGTGTGAGCCCGTCATCGTTCTCTAGCATCCACAGCCCGGGCGCCTACGTTTCAGGAAGTTTCTTCAGACAGTCAAGCTTTTACGGCTCACCTGCTACGAGCCAGGAGCCCGCTAGGCTCAGGGCCTGGAGACACAGCTCTGGACAGGATGGTGCCCCCTCCTTGCTGCCCACGCTGCCTGCTCACTGTCCCTGTGGGGGGCACAGAGACCTGCACCTCGAGATCTGGGTGGGAGTTGCCTCTGGGCTGAGTGTGTGCCTGCATGAGGATGTGTGTGCACATGCCTGTGTGTGTGCGCACGTGCACGCGTGGTGCTGAGGAGGCAGGAAATCCCATGAGACCTGAGCCTTTCCTGGCTGCAAATGGCGCCCCGGGGCTCGACTCCTGGACTCTGAGTGCTGCCAGCCCCTTCGAGCGCGCTCCGCAAGCAACCGGGTATCCGCAGATGCCCCGAGTTATCGTTAAAATGCAGGTCCTTGGGGTTGCCAGGGGGGCTCAGCCAGTTAATCATCTGACTCTTAATTTTGGCTCAGGTCATGATCTCATGGTTCATGG